ACACCTGTGCTTCCCTGGAGATAAGTACCTAACACAGCACCCCATCCACCATCTACACCTGTGCTTCCCTGGAGACAAGTACCTAACACAGCACCTCATCCATGATCTACATCTGTGCTTCCCTGGAGATAAGTACTTAACACAGCACCCTATCCACCATCTACACCTGTACTTCCCTGGAGATAAGTACTTAACACAGCACCCTATCCACCATCTACACCTGTGCTTCCCTGGAGACAAGTACCTAACACAGCACCCTATCTACCATCTACACCTGTGCTTCCCTGGTGACAAGTACCTAACACAGCACCCTACCCACCATCTACACCTGTGCTTCCCTGGTGCATCCTGATGCCTCCCACCCCGATGCAGGAACAGGGAACAAGGCAGAGGCCATCAGGAAGCAGGGACTGCACATGGACTGTCTGTGCACTTACATCCTGCTTAGTTGGGGAAAAGCTTTCCGATAACTTGGCTTTAAAATGTGTGATTCAATCCTCTCCACAGTTCACAAGAAAAAACACAACAGAATGAGAGGAGGGAGGGTCAGGGCATCCGGGACCTAAGACTAAAAAGATGCAAGTTTACAAAGCTCAACAAGATAACAACTGACCGAGAAACTGTGCAGGGGCCTTTCATGTGTGGTGCTGGAGAAGATGAACACACACATACATGCATTCGTGTGCGCGTGCGTGCACAAACACAAACACACACACACACACACACACAACAAGCTACTGAAAACAAGTGGACAGGAACGTGTGGACACAGAATTCCTAATCACTGTGCTGTGAGAGCAAGAAGGGGAACTGCAGAAACCGGGTAAGTGGGCAGCTTGGCAGACAGGGGCTGGGGGACCACTTCATGGGCATTTTTTGCATTATTATTGTGCTTCTATAGCTCAGTCTAGAAACGTTTTTGCCCTGCAAGTACAAAGACTTGAATTTGATACCCAGGACTCACACAGAAAAAGAAAAAGGAAAAATCGTATGTGATGGCATCCTTGTAATTCCACTCTTGAGGAGGTGCCTAAGGAACGGCACCTAAAGTTGTCTCACAGTCTATACACCCAACGTGCACACATGCATAAATAACACAAGGTACATATGTTGTGGAATGCTTTCCTCCAAGCATAACAATCACATAACGTAACATCTTAACAAGAGCAGCCGTGACTACCCACATACGACTCTCAATCAGACCAGGCCAGTGCACATCCCACACGTTTGGAAAGCACAAAGTCCTACTGTCCTCAGTCAGTGGCTCCGCAGTGCCCCTAGGCCTGAAGGCAAGGGATGGTCTGAGCTTCATTTGCACAAGAAACAAAGCTATGCATCTACAGCCTGCCTGTCTCCTAGGCTCTGTGGAGGTTAGTTACCTAGAGGATTAGTCTGAGAAGCTTACACTGTTTGCCAATATGGTCTAGCAGTGTATGGGCCCACAAGAATTTCATAGCAGAAGACAGCTGAAATATTAAAAGCTAAATAACACCAAATATTCCATGATAGATGGCTTCCTCTAGAAAAATACCTTGAAATTTCTAGGTATAGCTTTAATATACAGCGCAATCTCTATAATATATTCTTTCGGCCTGTAAGATGGGTGAGTCCATCCTGCCAGTCAATGTCTTCTTCACTTTCATAGACAGATCCAAGTTCTCCACTTCTAGTAGGGCTAAGTGCCGGGGACAGAGCAGGATTTTCTGGTAACACAGGCTAGGAATCTAAAGAAGTCTGCGGGTAAAAAGGTGCTCCCAGTGGGCTCTCTCGGGCAGTGGAGGCGCTGGCAAAGGTACAGGGACCAGGGAAGGAGTACAGGGCTTGGGTCTGTACTTTCAGAAGCCAGGGAGGCTGACAGACAACTCTAAGCAGGGACTGCAGGACCTTTAATGCTGGGACGGTTTCCATTTGCTTATCCAGGTCACCCAGCAAATTCCTCCTATTCTTCTAAAGGACAGGAAGAGGTATGGCTAACATCCCTGAATTGTCCTCACACAGAAACCACCTGCAGGAAGCTGATATTCTTCTACCTGGATACCCACAGCTCTGGGGACAGCTGTTAGGCTCTGGGCCTAACCCAGAGGCCCCCAAACACCTCCACCGAACTCAACATGTTAACTCCTACAAGAGTCTAAGGACCTCAAGGAGGTGGCCTCATCCCCTGACCCAGCCTTACCATGTATGTGGCAATCTCATCAGGAGCGTCCCCATCAAGGTCAAACTTGAAGGTCACCATCTTATGGTTATGCGTTTCCAGCTGACATTCCACCATCTTGTCCCCCGTGTTACACACCTGCAGGAAGTCATGATCAGATTGCAGAGGACTTCACACCCATGTGCCCCAAACCACAGCCACTCACATTCAGAATAGTGAGCCGAGGCCGGCTGGCCCTCTCCTGCCGGGAGCGCGCACGAGTGGACCTACGGTGGTGTTTCCGGGCAGCCCTACCCTCCAGCCTGCCCCCTCCAAAGGTGCCTTCACAGCCGTCACTCAGGTCTCTTCCAGAGGTAACATCGGAACCTCCAAGGCTGAGGGAAAACCGAGAATGTTAACAGCATACCTGGATCAGCAGAAAATCCACTCTAATCAGTCCAGCCTTGGGGCTTCTTTAAGTGGCTAGGGTTGTGACCTACAGAGATAGCACCCAGCTTGCAAGGGGGATCCCGAGAGCTCTCTTCCTCCAGTACCCATCCTGAACCACCCATGGGCCCAAGGGAAGTGCCAGCTTCCCAGTGGCGGGCTGTATGATCGTGGTTCTCTAGGCCTTTTGCCTCTGAAATGGGTCTGCATGCCTCATTTTCCCCATCTGAGCAAACAAGACATCAGGAACTTTAAGTTGCTGTGAGGACTGTGGAGTCTGCCGAGCTTCCTGAATACACAACATCCAGTCTTCTGGGATGATGGGATCCACAGCTACCTCCCACACCCACCTCAATAAGGAGGACACTACCATCCCAGAGCACAGGAGGAGAAACCTGAACACCTGGGTCTAGGCATACCTGAGGCCACTGAGACTCTGCCTAATGCTTTCCCCTTCTGGAATGTCCTCAGCACAAGGATTAGTGCCAGGACCCACAGCTCAGCAGGGACCAATGACAACCAGAACTCTACCTGGAGTGACAAGGACTAGTGCCAGAATCCATTGCCCAGCAGGGGCTGACAACAACCAAGATTCATCCTGGATTAACAAAGACCTTCTAGAAAGATGGGCCCTGAGCCACGACTGGGTCTGATTTGGAAAAGGGGGGCAACGCCTGTTAAAAGTCCTGGTAGCGTCCTGGCAAACTGGGGCAGGATCTGAACAAAAGCGCCAAGCAGTGCCGGGCTGGGCCAAGCTGGCTCCCAAGCCTGCGCCCCCCACCCATCCAGAGGGCAAAGCAGAGCAGTACCTCTCACAGCTCTGTGGGGGGCCAGGGGGCTTGTCTTGCGAGGCCTGCTCCTAAAATAAAAACCGGAGTAAAAGAACAGGGTTACATTGTGCTGACCTACCTCCCCTTGGTGAGGCCAGACACAGCATGCACCTGCCTCCCCACCTCCTCTGAGGCTCTCTCCACACAGGGCCCAGTGTGTGGCGGGGTGATCTTGAAAGGCTTAGAGGCGAGCAGATTCCTGAAACCCAGGGTTGCTTCTTTCCACAAATTGCTAACCTACTTGGATCATTGCTCTAAAAGGACACACAGGGTTTGTGAGTGCCCTGTACACACTCTCTGAGGAAAACCCATCCTCTCCCTCCTGATGTGGGCCCGTGGAGACCGAGAGGCAGAGCGGCTTGGAGTAGCTGTCCCAGAGCACGCTGTGCCCCCTTCACCCCTAGAGCCGAGCCCCCAGGTGGCTTGAGCGGGGAACAAGGGCACACACCTCTGGAGCCACTTCCACCGTGAGCTGGACAGCAGGGCAGGGACCCGCGACCGCAGGCCCCGTGGGCAGAGGTGGGTTTGTTGGCGGGAGTAGCGTCGAGGTCTGGGTGGGCACGCTCTGAGAGGCGGCGGCCACTGTGGCGGCCAGGGAGCCGGGGAGCTTGGGCAGGAGCTCGGGGGCAGCGGGCAGCAGAGCCTCTGGCAGAGGAGGGGAAAGGGCAGCAGGCGGCAGGGACACAGCAGACACTGGAGCAGCGACATCCGCCGTGTACGGAGGAGGAGGGTGGCCCAGCAGGACCTGGGGGCACAAGGGAGGAGAACGCAGGCTGGGTACCGGAGAGCAGCGGTGGAGGCCGTGCCCAGGCACGTCAGTGAGCACACAGGTTTGGGAGGATTAGGGACGCCTCTCTCTCTCTGTGGTCCACACGTTCCCCCAATCCTTGTCTTAGAGCACAACTGGAATGTAGACATGAGCCTGCCTCCCAACACACTTCCGTGTGGGAATGCACAGACCTAGACTCCTAGGGACTCAGAAGAAGAGTCAGAATGCAACACACACTTAGCATGTAGGCTGGGCTCCGGCTGTCTCCTCGGGACATCAACCTCCGGCTCCCCTGGCTTTCTGTGCAGTTCAGAGCCTGGGGTAGCTGTTTCCAGTCACAGTGCACCCTGCGAGTGCTCAACCCCTGCCAGCTCGCACAAGGTGATGTGGAATTCTGGCTGACTTTCCCCTGTGGGTGTTTCTCTTCAACAGTTCTTTGGGGGTAAAAAGTAAGATAAAGAGAAAACAGGGTCCATAGATTTCGGTGCGGGAACACACCATCCACGGCCCCAGGTGGGCTAAGAGGCTGGAAATTCCGTCACCTCGTCTCTCAGAACACTTTGCTGGAAGGGATGCCTGTGGGGCAGCCAGTCGAGCTCATCAATAAACTTCTAGAAGCTTAATGTAATTAAAAATTCTTTTTAGAAGAGGGTCAGTGTCCTGGTGAGTTTTCTGTCAACCTGACACATTAGAAAGGAGGTAGGCTCAGCTGAGAAAATGCCTTCATAAATTCAGGATGTAGGCAAGCCTGTAGGGCATTTTCTTAATGAGTGATTGGTGGGGAAGGGCACAGCCATTGTGAGTGGGGCCATCCTTGGGCTGGTGGTCCTGGGTTCTATAAGAAAGCAGGATGAGCCGGGCAGTGGTGGCACACGCCTTTAATCCCAGCACTCGGGAGGCAGAGGCAGGCGGATCTCTGTGAGTTTGAGGCCAGCCTGGTCTACAGAGCGAAATCCAGGACAGGCTCCAAAACTACACAGAGAAACCCTGTCTCGAAAAAACAAACAAACAAACAAACAAAAAAAAAAAACAAAAGAAAGAGCAGGCTGAGCAAGCCATGGGGAGCAAGCCAGTACGCAGTATCCCTTCCATGGTCTCTACATCAGCTCCTGCCTCCACGAGCCTGCCCTGTTTGGGTTCCTGCCCTGACTTCCTTCTATGATGAACTGTGATACGGAAGTGTAAGCCTGTAAACCCTTCCCTCCCCAAGCTGCTTTTGGTCATCGTGTCTTCTTATCACAGCAATGGTAACCTGACTAAGACAGTCAGCAAGATGGCTCAGTGGGGAAAGGCCTTGCCACCAAACTTGATGACCTGAGTTTGAGTCCTAGGACTCGTATGGTAGAAGGAAAAAAATCAACTTCTGCAAGTTGTCCTTGTGGCACACATGAGCAGCACCCCCTATAACATAGACAAATAAATGCACTTAAAAGTAAAAAACCAGGCCTGGAGAGGTGGCTCAGTAGTTGAGCACATACTGCTCTTGCAAAAGACCCAAGTATGGTTCCCAGCATCCAAGTTGGGCAGCTCACGATAGCCTCTAACTCTAGCTCTATAGGGATCCAATGCCTCTGGCTTCTGTGGCAACTCCACTCATATATATGAACATACCTAAACACAGACACACACATAATTAAAAACAAAAATAATTTTTTAAAAATTAAGAATAGAATAAACTTTTAGAAGCTCTACCAGCCAGCCAGTTGAAGAACCCACCCGTCTGTAGCAACCCCAGAACCCAAGCAGAAAACAAGGCCCAGAACACACAGATGGTGCAATACCCTGCTCTCCTGCTGCTTAGTAACCTTTGACAACTTCTCATTCTAGCCGTTCACTCAATGAGAACACAAGACTGATGTGGTTCCTCCCACTGGCTTTTTAGACAAATGCTTTCCGCTGGCCAATAAATACTACTCCCACCCATCTCCAAAGACAAATGCTTCCAGAAATGAGATAGTGAGAAATCAAATGGAAGGAGTTGTATACACACTGAGTGAGCAGCACAAAACTGAGCCATGTGGCACGTGGCACCAGAGTGCTCCCCCTGGACCCTTCACTCTTCACGGCAAAGCCAGGAGGTGCTGGTCCACATCAGAGGAACCCGAGGTTCAAATGGCAGGGGCATGCCTCAGCTTCAGAGCTGTCAGGGCTCAGAGCTGGGGTGAGGTCAGGGTTGGAGAACCCCCCAGGTGAAAATGTCAGATGGGGAGATGCTGAAGTGTGTGTGTTGGGGGCGGGGGCTGCCAGGTGGAGAGAGTATCTTCATCAGGTCCCCAGTGGAAGACACCCAAGTAAAGAAGGCCTCTGATGAGGGGACTCAAGAGGGAAGCATCAGGTCTGTTCTTCCTTCCCCTCATTTGGGTTTAAACAGAATAGACAGGAACTCCAAACATGAATGTCCTGTGCAGGCTCCTGCCACAAGGCACATATCCCTACGCACCACAGCATCCCTTCATTGCCAACTTGGCACACTGTATGCACCATCACCTGACACCAGGGCGGTTACCTGTCCCACAAGAATCCTCTTTCGGCCGCAGCCCAGCAGCACACAGACCCCCTTGCTAGTCTCTTTGTCTCTCGGTTCAAATAGGAATGCCCATTCTGCCTTGCTTTGTCCTCTGAGTCAGTCTGGGCTACATGCAAGTCCTGGTATCCACAGAGGAGCCACTTCAGGCCAATAGGACTGCCAGCACTGGCATGAGGGTGGGGGAGTCCTCCACCACAAAGCAGAGGCAGGGAAGGAACGTGGAACCCCTCAGTCATCCTGATGCTCCAGCTCCTGAGAAGGCAGCAGGTGCCCCGCACTGGCTCAGGCCTCTGTCTCCAATGTTCTCTTCATAAGCAAGGTCAACCAGGGGCTGGAGAGATGGCTTAGAGGATAAGAGCACTTGCTGCTCTTGTAGAGGACCTGGGTTTGATTCCCTAGCACCTATATGGTAAGCACAACCATCAATAACTCCAGTTCCAGGCAGTATGACACCCTCTTCTGACCTCTGCCAACACCAGGCAGGCACACAGACGGTACAAACACACACATGGAGGCAAACCATCCATACACATACAGGACAGAACTGCCCCCTGACAGTGCTACGCCCCCTTGAGTCCAGGTACTAACAGCAGCCATGGCCCTGTGAAGGGAATGGTTCTAGTCTCTTGAGCCTGGCCCCGAGGGTCTCCAGCAGTGAGAGGTTGATCCACTCCCACAGGTGGTTTACCTGGGTCCCTGAGGCAGCGGTTGGAGCAGCCTGCTCAGGTAGATGGACGACACTGGGCTGGACAGGCTGAGGAGGCACAGGTGAGGCCAGCTGTGGAGGGGTGGCCCGTAAGCTCTGCACCGTGTGGTGGGGTGAGGGCGGGATGTCTCCAGGTGCCATCTGGGGGAAGGCTGCTGGGTACACAGGCTGAGCTGGGATCTGGGCCGGGATCTGGGCTGGGATCTGGGCCGGGATCTGGGCCACTGCTGGATGGATGGACAGTGCGGCCACACCCTGCGAGGCCACGGCCAGCAGGGGGATAGCAGCTGGTGCATTTGGCACGATGGTCTGGCAGGGCACAGCCAGGGGTGCTCCAGGGGGATGAGGCAACTTGACAGCCTGCAGAGGCAGGGCCGGTGATGTGGGCAGGGGCGTTGTGAGGCTTGGCAAGATCACAGCGGGTGGGAAATACTGAGGCGGCGGCACAGGGGCCACGTTTGCAGCTGGCAGATCAGTGAGGGTCTGAGGGAGGCCGTCGAGTCCTGCCAAGGGAGTGATGGGGGGGACCACAGGCATTTGAGGCATCTGAAAAAGGTATAGTGGCATGTTAGTCAGGCTGCCATCCTGGGACCTGCAACATCAGCGGCAAGCAGCCCAGTCTCCCAAACAGCTGCTGCTGCTGAGATGATTCCCAGCAAGTCACTGGAAAGCATTATAAACACGTTCAAGCAGGAGACCTGCCTGCTGGGTCCTCCCTGGGCACCAGCATGGAGAGACCTGTGTGTCCAAATCTCCAAGGGGCTGGCTGGTGGCTCTGAGGGAGTCAGGGGCACTCAGATAAGAGGAACCACAGAATGACCCCAGGGCTCTGGAGCTTCGGAGCACTTTCCTTTGGAAAGGCTTGAGGCTATCCAAGGTACCAGGCTAGCCCGGTCACCTAGCGTCTCATCAAGTCTCAAGTCTCATCCTGTGAACTCCACGGAAGCCAACCCCTTGTGGGGTTCTCAGTATAAACCTTCTTTGACAGATGAGGCAATGCCACTCGCTGTGGCACTCGGCCTCTCAACAGCAGACAGTCCAAAACCTTCTGTTTGTTCTCCTAGTGTCAGGGGTACCTGACGTGGTGGGTTAAACACTGTGGACCCGACAGCTACCCCCTAAAGCAGCGCTCTTTTCCTGCTTGCTCACAAGCATCATGTTCACTACAGCTCTGTACCAATATGAGGGCACAGGAATGTACAGGTCCACTGTGACGCATGTGACAGACAGCTAAACGACATCCGTGGTGACAAATGCCCCTGGAAGGAGTTGTCCCTAGTGACTGCTCAGAGCTCTGCAGGACGACCATCTGAAGCAAGCAGAGAGCCTTCTATGGCCACTCAGTGGTCACAAGGAGAGTTCTGTCCTTGGCTGGACTAACCCTTTTCCCACCCAGGATGGCAATCGAGGAGATAACTGGACGACAGCTGCCTCACCCATTCCTTGAGGGACCCTATTTACACCACTCTCATCCCAGAGGCGAAGCCAGAGGGAGAGGGAAACCAGACAAAGGACTGTCCCCAGGGTCCCAGGAGCAGTCATGAAGCACTAGACGTGTAATACACAGGGTATGACACCATGCCCCAGGCCCACCTCCCTAGCCAGTAGCCCCTGGTGAATGCATGAACCTGCAACCCATGTCCTGAGCAGGGTGAGCAGGCTACGGGCCAGATGTACCTTCGGAGGGACTTGAGCAAGAGGTTGCAGAGGTGGCTGCGGCATCTGGAGAGGCTTCAGCTGAGCAGGGGCCACCACCTGGGAGGTTGGAGCCAGGTATGGAGGCAAATGAGAGGGCACTGGCTGGACAGCGCCCACGGGCTGCTGGGCCAGGACCTGTGGCAGGGTAGGTGGTTGGGCCATTGGAAGAGGCTGGTGGAAGAAAAGGGAGTCTTGTGCTCAGACACAAAAGAAATCCACAATGACCCCCCCCCTACACACACACACACACACACACGCTCATATGCTCACACTCACTCATCTGCATATACACTCCCACATACACACTCAGATTTACACACAGCCATATCACTTGCATATATACATCTTCATAACTTTACAACTGCATATTTTCACACACAACACTCATATACACACAGTGAACTACCTTCATAACATACATCCACATACCAGTCACACAAACACACAGAGACCACCAAGCAAGCCCCTGCTAATTTGGAGCCAGCTTATTAAAACATTCGAAGTAAGTAGACTTTTCCATGTGCAGGCCTTGCATTACACACTACAGATCTGAAACACACACACACACACACACACACACACACACACACACTAAATGCTCACACAGGCTCCATACTTCACCCAAGCCACAGGCGTTGGCTACAGAACTATCCCCCACAAGGGGACAATTTAAGTGGATAAAATGGAGTGTCACACTCACCTGCTGGACTGGGGGTGCTGGCTGGCTTGGGCCCGTGGGCACAGGGGTGCTGGGTGGTGGTAGCACAGGAGTGAAGCTCATGGAAGGTTCTGGAAAATGCTGCTGGATGAGTGGAGGGCGAGCAGGGGGAGGCACAGGGCCCACTGACAGGCCAGGCTGCAGAGAATGTGAAGGCTGTATTCAGCAGCTGCCCTTGGCCCTTGTTATTCCCGTGCCCAACCCCCTCTCCACCAAGAACCTTGTTCCCAGGAAGGTGACTCAGCAGAAGCCAGGTGTGGCGGCCCTACAACGCCATCAACAATACTGAAAAGCCACATATGGCCACAGCTCCCAGCCAGGGAATGTTCTAGAACATAAGCCCAGTGGAGTATTATGCAACCATGTAAAAAGATCATCACAGAGGTTTTTCAGCACCATGGAGAAAGACTCCTTCAGACATAAGCTGTGGGCAGCTTATTTACAGAGACGATTCCAACTACAAAGGATGAACCAATGTGGATAACTCAGACTATGGAGTAATGGGACATAGAGTTTGCAGTTGCTGGAAAGGTACCAGGACACATAGGCACGGGAACAAAACTAGAACAGGAAGGCCCTTGGCAAGGAGAGGCCCTCTGAGACTTAGCCACAAGGGGACAGAAACAGGGCCGCACATAGGGAGGGCACTGGTCTGTGCAGCTAGCAAAAGAATAATTAGCCCAAGGATGCCAAGGTTAAGGAATAGCTGCTACTTTGTCAATATTCTGTGCATGGAGGGGGTTGGTTTTTGTTTTTTAATTTTATGTGTATGATATTTTGCCTGCTTATATGTCTGTGCACTATGTACATGCCTGGTACCTGAGGAGGCCAGAATCAGGCATCAGATCCCAGGGTACTAGAGTTACAGATGGTCGTGAGCCACCATGTGGGTGCCAGGAACCAAACCTACGTCCTCTGCAGTCCCATGGTTAGCTCTCTGAGCATATTCACTGTGCAGAGACAGTATTTATGGGAAAATCTCTGGTTGTCCGGGATTTACTTCACAACAATGAGGACACTGGCAGTAGTGGGCTGTGGGGAACGTATCCAAACAGAAGTTCGTGGTTTGGAAGAGGGATCGATGTCCGCTGCTCTCCAGCAGACTTCTCTAGAACGTGTTGTGTGGCACAGGGGCAGGGATTTCTCAAACACACTCTCACTTCCCTTTTCCTGGTGCTTTGTGCAAGCATGTGGGGAGCAGGCGCATGTGGGATCAAGTCTCAGAGCTGGGTCTATCTAAAACCATAGACAGATGAGTTGGCCCACTAGACCAGGTCAGGACAGACTGTCCACTCAAAAGCTCAGGAGCTCAGGCAGGGCCTAGTGACCCCTCCCATCTGATGGTCTTCCATTTCCTCCTTCTCATCACCCCTGTCTGCTTACCCACCGGACCCCAGAGGTGTAATGCCACAGCAGCCTTCTCTGGGAAATACAAAGAGGTCAGGATGTACCCTCCAGAGGCCATCCTGTCTAAGTTGTCTTTAGGTCAGGAGGCAGGGAAAGAGGACCAAGAGCCCTGGCCCCGGGTCTGCACCTGCGAGCTCTCTGCTCAGTCTCCTGATCTGCATGTGGATGGTGAGATTGGCTGGATCAATGAGGAGGCATAGGACAGCAGGGGCCTGGTGAGGACCAGGGCAGCTAGTCCATCCCCCGGCCTGAGGTAGCCCTAAGCATGGCTGAGGTATGAGAGAGACAGGCAGGACATTCTGGCCCAGCCCCAGCCGAGCAGCCTCTGGAGCAGCAAGTCCTCTTGCATGAGGTCTTCCGGCCATTTAAAATCAAACCTCACTTCATTTTGTGAAATGAACAGAATTGCAAAGGTGCGCATCACAGCGAATCCTGGGGCTCAGGGAAGCAGCGGCAGACACAGTCCACTGTGTCAACTGCTTTTCCAAAAGGCCTGCTGGGCCCTTCCAACTGCTCAATGCTATGTGGGCACGGGGAAGAAGAGAGCGAGCCTGTGTATGCAGAGTACAAGTCACAACACTAGCGTTCAGCCAGTGCCAAGAAGCCACCACAGTCCAAGACTGTGATAACTGGAGCTACCAACTTACCAGCTGGGGGCTCCCAAATGACAGGGGAAGCAAGAGCCCACCCATGGGGTCTACATCACCCTCTGAAGACTCAGCTCCACCACCCAGGTCACAGGCCAATTCTCAAACTGAGCTCTTAGGACTATGAAACAAGCATTTTTTTTCTTCAATGTTTAGGAAGAAAGGCAAAAATCACGGGGCCTGCCATGGGAACACAAGGACGTGAGTTTGGACCCTCAGCAGTTAGGTAAAAGGCAGGTGGCAGAGCACACCAGTGCTCTCAGTGCTGGGAGGAAGGAGACAGGAAGATCCTGGGGACTTGCTGGCCAGGCAGTGAGTTCCAAACTTAGTGAGAGACCCTGTCTGAAAAACTCCTGATACAAACGGGTCTCAGGCCTCCATGTGTACATGCAAGGGTGTGTGTACCTGTATATACCACAGACACAAAGAAAATAAAATGAATGCCCTGCTTGACCCCTCCTTCACCATCCACTTCCCAGATCTCACACACCGCCTCTCAGGCATCCTCAAAGCCTGACTGAGCCTTTCTTGCCTTCTACAAATACTGAAAATGCCTCCCTGCTTCAGCCCCATTTTCATCCCCCTGACTTTCGACAGCTACCACTACCTGAGGGAGACTTGCCTGGGGGTCTCGGATAAAAATCCAAAGCTCCATTATCACAAATGAACCATTTCTGTCATCTCTGGGATAGCCTGGGAAAGACCCCAATGTGCCGGCATCATACACCTGTGTGGTACCCGTGACAACCTCAGGATAAGGCTGGCTGGCTCCCCAAGCCATGGGTGCCCAACCTAAGGTGTGTTCCCAGATACTCCACACTCTTTATCCAAGAGCTCTTCACATCTATAGTTCTGCAGCTCCCAGCAAAGGAGCTCCACGGACTGCATCCTCGAGTCTCCCAAGGGAAATGTGGCTGGGAGCCGACTACAGGCCACTCGAACCCTGACCATACGTAGCACAGCCTAGACAAGAGGCAAAGAGGACGGAGCAGGGGTAGCTCTCGAACTTACCACAGTGGCCGGCTGCTGGAAGGCCCCTAGCGCAGGCAGGCTGTGGGTCAGGCCAGGCCCCTCAGCCACAGGGGGGCTGCACACACATGAGGCTGGGGTCGGAGTCGTATCCACGAGGGAGCTGAGCACCATGCTCTGCTGGCTGCTCTGGGAGTCCGAGTACACAGTGGAGCCCTGGCCGCTGTCGAAAGTGCTGTCCGCTGGGGAGGACAAAGGCAGAACTTAGTGTGCACACCTCTAAATGCCACCTCCCTGGCACCGCAGACAAGCGTGGTGGCTTGTTCCTGGGTTCATTCTGCAAGACGGAGCCTGGGTTGTTTTCATGAACGATGTTTAAACCGTCACCCGCCACACAGCAGCATGTGGTCTCAGGCCTCCTGTGCCCCTGGCCTGATGCTGGGGTGGGCAAGGCTGGCGAGCCTATCAGAAGCAAACCCTGTCATCCCCTGCCCACTCTGGTGTGCAGGTGCAGAGGCTGCCCTTCTCTGATGGTACTTGGCAAGGCAGCCTGCCCACACAGACAGCCAATGAGGAATGAAAACCGGAAACAGCACTTTGAGGTTGAGCTTCCGGATTCCAAAAGCCACAGGCTTTACAATCTGCCACCAAACCACCAAGCTGTTTTCACAAGGGGGCTGCACTTCAGAGTGAGTGCTCTGTCCACTGATAATTTAAGCCAAGTGAGGGGTAAGTCTTGCTGGCTCTGCACTAACAATTTTTCCAAAGAGTGATTTTAACCTAGGAAGACATAATGCTGAGGTTTAATTGGGCAAAACCAATTAGACAAGCAGCTCTAGTTTTTAATGAGCCAACTGCTCATTAGAGTGACCATTTCTACCTAGAGAGACAGGAAGAAAGCGAGGAGAGAATGGAGCGGGAGAGGGAGGTGGGGAAGAAAGGAAGGTGGCCCTCATGCTAACAGGATTCCAGAGGCACCACCTCCAGCCGTGTGTGCAACACTTTAAATATCGCAAGTGATTTGTATAGATTACTTGTACAATCGGAATTTCATTTGGAGATGGTTACCGCCCCCCCCCCCCCCAGCATTATCTGTGTCGTCATGGTCCTCAGCAGGAGTGTGGCGGCAGTAGAAGTCGCCCTCTCAGCCCAGTCGGGGCTGCTGGGGGAAGAGGACCGAAAGCTGATGTGCCAGCGTATCGCCCAACACAACAGGAGTGTGTGTGCCTGTGATCCTGTTAAGTGCAGGGCCTGCTCAGACAATGGGTTATCTTTCATCCTTAGCAGCTACAAAGCACAGAATGGTCGGCCACTGTTCAACTCTTGCCGCCAGGTGAGAAAACGAAGACAAAAAGTCTGGAGCAGCGTGAGGGTGCTGTGCATGCTGAAGAAAGGGGATGGAGACGTGCTTGTATGTGTTCCTCACATCACATATGCAAGCACAGATGAGTATACTCATCTTTCTTTTTGGTTTGGTTTGGTTGTCTGTTGTCTGAGGCAGGGTTTCTCTGTGTAGCCCTGTCTGTCCTAGAACTTGCTCTGTAGCCCTGGCTGGCCTTGAACTGAGATCTGCCTGCCTCTGCCTCCTGAATGCTGGAATTAAGGGTGTGCACCACCACCACCTCACGAGTATATTCACGTATGTCCACATGTGTATTCCCATGTGTGGAGGTGCACCCATGTTCTCAGCTGTGTGTATGATTACCTGTACACCTAGGTCCATGTGTGTACAGGTGTCAGTATGATGTGTGATGTATATGTGTCTTTATATGCATGGATTCTCTGTATATAAGGCTATGCGCACTGGGTGTGCATCTGTACACATACACTATGTGTCTGCCTGTGTGTGTGTCCATATGTGGATGATACATGTAGATCTTCTCTGGAAGGCAGTTAAAAGATCTGCAGCATCTGTTGCCTCTAGGAAGGTAAGTGACTTGCCTGCAAACCCTGCGGGGTTTAAAATTCGGAAAGATATGACTGTACCATCCACCTAGTTTAAAGTAAACATAGTGAGTGAGCAAAAGCCCTTTGAGAAGGCCAGCCATGGCTTCTGTGCTTAGCCCATGGAGTTCCGAGTCACGCAGAAAAGGGTTCTGTTGGCAGAGAAGTCCTACACTTAACACGAACTCATCCTACTCTCCATGGGATTTTCTCATATTGGGTCACCCTGGCCTTCAGCATCTGACCACAAGAGGGACATTGTTCAGAGGTCCCAAACTGGGTCTCTTCAAAGTACAAAATGCAGAGCTCAGCTTGGAGCAAAGTACTTCAAAGTGAGGGCCGCCCATTTGCATTTAAGTAGTCTTCTTGGAAGCTATTTGAGTCATGAATGAAGGGGGCTGAATATTAAATAAACAGGGTTTCAGTCTTTCCACATGAATAGTCTCAAATATTGGCCTGGCCTCTGCTGATCTGTTCCAGGCTGGTTCAGAGTGGGCAAAACTATGTGTCCTGTCTCACAGCTCATTGCTGAATTTTCAAACATGGAAGGCAAACAGGATACTGACTGCCTATCCTGAAAAAGTACTGGATTCTCTCAGGATGGTCTCTGATGAAGCCTGCATCCAATCCACCTCAAGAGAATCAACACCTTGAAAAGGGACAAATGGTCTCAGAGGTTTTTATGGAGGATAGTAACAGAGATGGACAATCCCCGAGATCAACACTCCTAGCCAAGACAGCCACCACTCGGCACAGTCATCCCCTCCAAAGACTATGTACCAGTACCTCACTTGGCCTTTGTATCCCTCCATGAGGCTAGGACTGCTCCTCTCAGAAAGAATAAAGAACCAGTTGCCAGACCACAGATTCACAATGTGGAGCCGAGGTAGAACTGGTCCCCTCAAGACCCTACTAAGTCATGGACATCTGACCTGAGAAACGAGATTCTAGTGAGCCTTAGCCCCCAGAGTCACTGAGGAATGTAGGGAAAACCCAATCCTTTTCCCCAAACAATCATCCACACCCTACAGGGCAGGCAGTGGGAACAAGCCTGGGCTGGCCAACGAACCAAGGCCCACGTGTCCTAGCACTTGGGGGCCATCCGTTAGCCCTACTGCCCCAGGACATGCCCCTTAAAAGATCACCATGTGTTCTGGCACCAAGAGGGCTAGCAGGAAGTGACCTTGGAAGAGGAGACCAAAGCCTATCCAAAGCTTCAGGGAGCCACGCACAGCTGGAAGCAATGACCCAGCTACCTGAGGACAGCCTGGAGCTCACACAATGTTGTTATACAAGATAAGAACCCTGTCTTGCTTTGCCCTGAAGCTGGTTAGGCTGGTGGCAGTGGGAGGAAGGACACAGTTGGCCATGGTGAGCCCATTCCAGGTACTCACAGGCTAAGGAGGTAACGCTCGCTGGCAACGTAGGGGGCAGGAGATGCTGGTCAGCCTCAGGCTCCTCGGGTTCTGGCAGTCCAGGCTGCCCACTCTGTGCATGGTAGGTCACCTGGACCTGCAGGGGTGCTGGCAGACCCTTGGCCTTGTCAGGGCTGCCCGAGTCCTTTGGCTCCTGAGACTGGAGCGCAGGCCAGATCCTCTCACGCCGCCACTGGATTAGTGCTACCCGGTCACGGATGGACTTGGCCACAATCTTCACATCACTCTCATGGAAGAATCCAGAATCAATCTGCGAAGGCAGACACACAGTCAAGCATCTTGGGGAGCAGCCATCCTGCGTGCACCACTTACATGTGATATACATACACATCCTACTGCTTAGGCCTACCCCTCCCATCTACCGTAGTTCTCAAGACTCCTCAGTCCCCTCATGAGTGATGAGTCCCAACACCCGCCTTTGAAGCTTACAGGCTCCGGCTGTGGGATAGCAGTTCATGCCCAGCAAATATTCACTGACCTCATAAACCCTGACCAGCCTGGAAGGAGGAGACCCATTTGGTCCTCAGTATGGGGAACATTTGAGCCTGGCAAAATCCTCAACTCCCTTCACCAGCAGAGTATTCCACGATCTCCAGGAAACACAGTGAGCTCACTGGGAATATCTGTGACAAAGTCACTTCCTGGGACAGAGGTCCCTACTAAGGCTCTGTTCTAGCTGGACTCCAGGGCTAATGAGGACTACTGAAAAGTCAGGGTTGGGTTCCTTCCTCCATGAAGACCTCAGTTCTGGAGAGATTGAGTTGGGGTGCTGGAGACAGCTCAGTCGAGAAGAGCAGAGTTCTGTTCCCAGCACCCATGCCAGGTGGCTCACAACCACCAGTAATTCCAGCTCCAGGGGATCCAACACCCTCTTTCTGGACTCTGGGGGCCCTGCACACATGTGTGCATTACCACTACCACCCACCCCAACCCCTCCCTATACACATAAACTAAAAATAAATCTTTTTTAAAAGAAAGAAAAACATACATTTTTTTTTAAACACAGGGTTTCGCTGTGTATCCCTAGCTATGTAAACCAGGCTGACCTTGAACTCAGAGATCCACCTGCCTCTGCTTCCTGAGATCTAGGATTCTAAAGGTGTGCACCCCCATGCCCAACAAGAAAAATAAACTTTAAGAGACTAGGTGGGCTCTTGACTGGAACACTGCAGGGTAGGGATACAAGGGGGTCCTAGTGTGGGAACTGGGAAACACAGTGGAATATACGTGATGGACAGCACAGATAGAGGATGGGGACTGTGTGGGCCAGCCAGGCTCCTCCCACACAGAAAGGCAGGAATGTGGAATAGACCCAGGGCACTGCTGGGTCCCTGTGCTATCAGTGGAACAATCACGAACCCAAAGGCACATGGATGGCACTTGTGTATGAATGTGTAGATGGCATGTCCCCGTGAACTGTGTCTACCCTGAGGGCTCAGAAACAACGACCACAATCCTGAGAGGCCACAGGAAACCAGAGCTGCCGCTGGCTCAGTAGCTCGGGGCTGGACAGGAGAACAAGGAGAACGAGCCAACTGCCTGGACACGCTCAGGGAAGGACAGGGACGTGCAAACCGACATGGGAGCTGGTACTGGGGCAAATCCAGGACATCTGAACATCAGAATGAGCAGCAACACAGCGATGCTTTAAAGGGCATTCCCACAAATCCTAGCACACATTTTGCAGATCACCTGTCGGGGAAAGAGAGACAGGGATCCTACTGAACTAAGATAGGGCAGTGTGGAGGGTCTCACCTACCCTTTCTATTTCTTTCTTCCCATGACTGTCTCTGTGCATGTCCCTATCCCCCCACACCCCTTTTTTCCTCAGGCATTACTGCTCTCTGATGAAGCCACATCAGGAGCTATCTGAAGAGGCCCACCAGCAGGGAACTCGGGCCCCCTACTACATGGGCCACCAACCCTGCCTGACACCTGCCTGTGCCTCATGAGAGACCCTAAGCCACCCTTTTCCCCAGCCTGAGCACTGGACAGGCCAGAGCGCTGTGAAGCTACCAACATCTCAACAGAACTGTACTGTGTACCCTCAGAGCAAGCATCCCATACAATGGGGTGGTCAGAAGCATATGCCCCAGGCAGGCCACAGTGACAAAGTGGCTCCTTCTCTGAGACTCCTAGGATGTATCACCTAGCCTAGAGGGGCATCTGAGCTCTTCCCAAGTGTCAGGGCACAGAATGCAGAGGACGGAAGAGCCCCGTGATAGTGGCCCAATGCTTGGACACCAAGGATCCCAGCAGCCCAGGGAAGGGATGATGGTGGCATGCTGATGGCAGTTTGATTCTGAATTCAGGAAACCCCCTGCTTCACAGAAGATAACAGACAGGAATGTACTCGGGGTGGTGGGCACTAGGCGGCTGCTCACTTTCAAATAATACATGGTGGAGTTGGGAGTCGTCCTCTGTTTAACGTTCTTCAACCTCCCAGGGAGTTTGTCCAGGTCACTTCAAAGCAGTTTATTTTGAAAGACAATTCTGCTTGTCACAGAGATCCCCCATGAAAATGCCCCAGATGAAGGCCTCACTGATCCCAGCAGAGGCATAAGCAGGCTGGGTATGTGGCCAAGGAAAGGGTCAAAAGAAGAGAAGCCGGAGGACACAGAATCCTCTGTGGGATCCACCTACACTGAGGGCCTGTGGTTCAGCCACCATCTTGTGGGGAACTTCCGGACAACAGGCCAGTCCACACCCCCAGAGGAGACAAGACGAGGTGAGGGGGTCTTTTTCTGTCCTTAGAACCAGCAGCAGCTTCTTTGTGGGGACGTCCACGTCTAGCCACAGGGACCTTTGTGAGGCAGCTGAGGCTGGACAGGCCAGAATAACCCAAGTCAGTTGTGACCTAGAGTGAGTGGCCCAAGGCAGGTATAGTGTCACTGATCCATGGAACAGGTCTCAAAGGTGGCCAGAGCATGATACATGCCATCCGTAAAGTCCCAGGTAACCCCAGTTCACATTGAAGACAGTGGGCGGGCAATGTCTGCCCTTCTGTGGGATTCTTGCTCTGAGGCTCCATGCCCCTGTTGGGCAAGGCCACCTGGCCAGAGCTGCCAGTCACTTCCATTTTCTGCAATACTTCAGCCATCCCCAGGATGGGCCTAACTGCCTGTAGCTCAGTACCCGACAGAACCTGCCACGCTTAACCTCATTTCTGCCATACTGATCTACATCCTCACCCTATACCCCATCTTCATCCCCCTCCAGGTGGCTCCAGGAGGTCTCATCTGGATTCTGTGGCACGTCACACCTGAAAAGCCTCAGGAGTCCAGGATCTTTGCCAGACTCACGTGTTCCTAGATGGTGACTCCCTCTGCAGCCTAGGCCCAGGGAAGGGCTGGTGGCCTGGACAGTAATGACCCTGGAGTCTCAAATGTACAGGATGAAGAAGGGCAAAGCTGGAACCCTAACAAGCTTCCTGGGGCCCAGGAACCACCCTGAGGCCCAGCAAGAACATGGCAGAGCTGTGAGATGGGCCCATGTGTGGCTGTTCACAAAACAGAGCCCTTTGGGAGAATGTAGGGCTTTCAATTGTCACGTGTGGCAACCAGGCTTGGCAGAGTGGGGATTACATTGTTTTTATTATTTTTTAAATTATTATCATTTTGGTTCTTTGAGACAGGGTTTCTCTATGTAGCCCCAGCTCTTCTGGAACCCACTCTGTAAACCAGGCTGGCCTCAAACTCAGAGATCCATTGGACTCAGCCTCCTGAGCACTAAGATTAAAGGTATGTGCCACCACCACTTGGCATTTATCATTATTCTTTAAGCTGATACAAGTCATGTCCTTTCTACATGGATGCCCTTTTGATAGATGGCATGCCTTATTTATAATGGAAAGAAAATGCAGTCTGAGGCAGAAGAGGGGAGGCGAAGATAAGGGGTGTGTGTGTGTGTGTGTGTGTGTGTGTGTGTGTGTGTGTGTGTGTGTGTGTGTGTGTGACTCAGGAGAGGGTGCTGGGCCCAGGGCCTTCCCTGGAACTGACGCAGGGACACAGGCTGGGAGTGCAGCCAGATGGCAGAGACCAGCTGAGGTAACTCACCCACAATGGCCCTACCCTGTGGGAAGCCCTGTCCTCTACCGTGTGACAAGCAGAGATAGGGTAGAGCCTTGGGTGTCAACTGCTTCAGAAGCAGTTAAGCAGCATCCAGGAACAGTGCACAGGGTACACTTGGGTTTAGGACACTGTGTCTTTCAGGGAACTGAAGACAAACTGGGAAGCTGATGTCTGGGTGGAGCGCAGACACTCAGAATCTACCTGTCAGGGATCCCGGGCATCATTCTGGAGTCACTACCCTCGCTGTAATCACTCACACTGAGCCCCAACTGAACCCCCTTATCACATGGTAGCCGTCCTGTGGCCCCTGCTCCCAAGGCTTAGCCCCCAGACCCCCCATGCCCTGCCTGGCCCAGTGCAGAGCCAGGCAGAATCACATTTGTAATGCAGCCCTGGCCTTCGTTCATGAGGGCAAGAATGTTATGTTATCTGAAGAGACTGCCATGTTGAAACCACAATGACCAATCACGATCCCCATTCTTACCCCTTGCAAGGTCAGAGCAGTGTGGTTTCCCCACGATCCCTTCATCTGATACACATAGCAGACTCTCCCTCCAATCCCGCTTCCCACATCTATCATTCCCCAGGCCAGTACCAATGACCAGCACAGTGACCACAGTATGCTCTCAGGAAGTGGGTGACACCAAACTCCAGCTGCCACACTGTCTGCAGCAGGCATGCCACCTCACACTGTTCTCAATAAAAATCATGGGGAGGCAGCTGTGAACATCAGTGAATGGAAATGTGTGCTGGCAACCAGCTGAATGTATACAGTCACTCTTGATGACTGAATTGAAAATACACAGCAGACCATATATAGTTACTACTGGCCACCGCTGTGAGTCATGGAAGCCCTCCGAAGAAGCATGGAGCTACAGAGTCCCATGAGATGTGTTCACAGCAAGAAGCTCTTCTGGCTGGGCTGGGATCGGAGGCAGGCTTTGCGAGAGTGGGTCAGTCTTGTCACATGGGTGACCACTCTGTACATCTCGGGATGATGGTACAGCCTGCCCCAGAGAAGCCAGCCTAGACTTCAGCTCGGAAACAGTATGTCACATCCATCCTCATCCTTACCACACCACACGCTGCTGCACGGGGAAGCCCTTGGAGTCTCTTTTCCTCCAGAAGCTGAAAGTGAGACCCTGCACTCAGTTGTACTTCAGAAGGCCACATAGGAGCACTCCATCCCACAGCTGTGGCACCAGGACCAACCTAAGCTCTCCCTGAGTGTGTCCTTTCCACACCAGCTCCCTAGGAGTCATGGATGCTGAGGCCCTGCTGCCAGGCTACTTCTTCCTTCCTTCATGGACCTCTGTGCCAAAGCTAACCCCACCATGTACTCTGGGCCACATGTAGAAATGGCACAGTCCTAAGGAGGAATGAACAGAAGGTTCATGGAGTCCCTTTCTTCTGACTCTGAGAACTCACACACTGCAAGGCATCACCACCCAGCCCCATAGGGACCTGTCCACTTTTGACAGGAGAACCAAGGAACCCACCATTCTGTGCACTTGGGACTTATATTTTAACAGATGTGCTCTGTTCAGTGGAAAGCTCATCTGGAACTGGGCATAGTGGTGCAAGCCTAAAATCCCAGCTGCTGGGGAATCTGAGGCAAAAGGCCTGTTTGGGATACAGAGTGAGTTCAAGGCCAGCCTAGGCAATTGAGTGAGAAGGATTTCAAAATAAAATGTCAAAAGACAGGCCGAGCGCTGTAGTAGAACACTTGCCTGACACTGGATTCTAATGCCCTGGGTCCAGTTCCTGAGGGAGGGAGGGTTGTAGGGGGGAGGTAACAGTAAAAGAGGGAGGGCTGAAGTACGCTTTAGGGGCAGAGTGGCTCGACGTTCAGTCCCCAGTAACACCAGAAAACGAAAAGGAGAAAAAGCTCATTTTAAAATAAATTTAAAGGACAACACCTCTGTGACAAGCATGGGTCAGGCTGCTGGTTCATGTCTGCGGTCTTCCCTCTGGATGCCAGTGGCATCCTGAGTCCTACCTGCCACCTCCTTCCCGTTAACACAGAGGCCTTGCCGGACTCTTGTCCCCTGTGGTTCTGCTGCCTACACGGTTCCCATGGAGATCTGCATGGCTGCATCCTTCTACTCTCATCTAAGTTGACTCATCCTTCGTAACCAGCGGCACAGCAGGGTGCACACGGACAGATTCATTCTTTCTCTCTCTGCACACCCCCCCCCCCCCCCCCCCGACTTCCCTCAGACCCAGAGGAGCATGTCAGTAGAACAAGTTTATAACGAAATGTTCCATGTGGTTCAAGAGTCACCATTTTGGATGGTGTTGGCATAGAGAACTGAGTAGAATAGTCTAGTCTGGCACCCAGGCTCTAGAAATTCCTATGCCCTGGCCATTCACCTCTTGTAGGCGTTAGGATACCACGGTGGCGCTGCAGAGCCTGGGCCTGGGCCACTCCTTGTCCTGTAAGGGCTGCTCTGCTCCTCCTACCCTGGTACCCCACCAGATTCAGTGTCCCCTCCTGTGGCTCAGTCTGACATCCCAAGCAGAGAGGGGTCTCCCCTCCTCACCCACAGACAGGCAGTGGGACCTGAGCTCTTCCATCGCCCCTCAAGGGGTTAAAGTACCAGAACCCAAAACACCACAAGAGTGTCTCCAAAGCAGGAGGGACAGATCCCATGTTCAAAGCCACAGCCCTGCGGCAAAGTGGCCAGAGTTTGGTTAAGGCAAGCAGGGGCCTTCAGGCTCTCCCCCTTCTATCAGCCTCCTTCCCTGAACTATATCCCAGGTGCTCATCTCATCTCCCAGGTCCCACGCAGTGCAGATCCTTAGTTCTGCTGTCACTGAACACCCCTGACCACACAGCAGGGACCCCAAACCCTTCCTCAGCACTTCCCCCAACCCTCGCATGCATGCTGGTCATTTCCCTAGGGGCACATGCCCTTCTGGAAAAGCAATTGATTTATGATTTTTTTTTTTAACCCAAACTCACCCATGGGTAGTCTGAGCCCCTTTACATGCACATTACCATTTCCTGGGCCACCTCGTCGGGGGTCTCCTTCTCCAAGTCAAAGGTAAATTCTATGGCTCCATTGTCTTTGGGCTTGCCCTTCAGCTTCTTGGGGTCTTCCACCCAAAGCCGCAGGGCTATAGTAGACTTCCTGCCATGGTCCTCCTCTGCAAGTTCCACCCGGACGCCCGTGTCTTCCGCGAAGAAGGCATGACTCAGCAGGTCCTTGATCTCATACCTGGAGGGTGAGTGGCTCCCAGGCAGGGCTCAGGGACAAGGGGCCTCCATACCCATCTACTATGAGGTCACCACCCAGCACACTGAGGCTCTTCTACAAAGTTCTCCCACTTCATTCCTGGTGGGCAGGCTCTGCCCCAGGGGTAGGACACGGGTGTGCACGTGAGCATTCCTTAATCCCCAGGAGATGCTGAGAATTTATGATCTGATATGCTCTCGTTTCTTGTTGCAATGTTTCAAGACCACCCCCACCCCATTATAAAAAGAAATCACACCCTGTACCAGGCCACCTGCTAGGCAGATAGAAACAGACCCTGCTGAGGTTCAGGTGAGTGTTCAATCCTCATCAGAGACTCCTGGCTCAGGGTGAATGAGAGGAATTAGAATCCCAAATACACAAGGAACCCAGGGTCCCTGGGCCTCACTGCAGCAGCGAGGTTAGTAGGGAGCCTTTCTCAGGAGGCAGGGGTGTGGAAGAATAGAAGCAGACAGTCAGAGGTAAGTAAGGACTTGCTAGGCCTAGGGGCTTGGAGCCAGAACCCAGCCACGGACGGGGGGCTCCACCCAGGTCATCCGGCAGCGAGCTGTTGCTATATGATCACTCCCAGTTCCAAGAAGTCATGCCTCCCAAACACACAGCCCTAACCACTATGTCTGGTCTGTTCTCTAGTACAAATCCATTAACCATGCAGCATCCTCTGGGCATCATGTTGATGGCAATGAACACCAGCTACCTATCCCTGTCTACTCCTGAGAATGTCACGTGGATGGGTGAGTATACTCCAGTTTCAGGGCTAGGAGGGCTCAAAGACACCCCTAGTTTTCTGGCTGTCCAGCTGGGAAGGCTAGTCCTGTTTTGAAGAGGAATTGGCTTTGTAGAACAACTGGGGGGTCCAGAGGTGAACTCTGTGGCCTGAGAGATGGCTGGAACAAGTACTCCTATGTACAGGCTGCTGTTCAGAAGAGCTGACAGGGCTGAGGCACATGAGGAGCCTGGGCATGGAGATGTTCCTTAAGGTCATGGAAATGGGGACGACTAGATAGCAAAGGACAGATTAAAGGTCTGGGTGCCCAGCACTTCAGGCTGGGTTGGGAGCCTATCAGGTGACAGGAGGGGATGTGTGTGCTACACTGCTCACAGCAGCTCACTAGCCTGGTGTTGCATAGCTTGAGCCAGTCTGCCTGACCTGGGAAGTCTGCATGGAGAATGTAGCCTGGGATGCCAGCTGGACCAACATCAGCTGGACCACACCACAGCCCACAGCGCTGGAGCTTACCTTTCTTCTTTGTTCTTACAGATGCACTCTCCGATGATCTCCTTGATCTCAGGATCATGCACCTTCTCAAAGCTGGCCGGCTTGATGCCCTGAGAACAGAGTAGAGTTATCCAGCACTACCCAGAGCTGGAGGCACCAGCGACACCCCCAGTGTCTCCCACAGCTCAGCTTGCTACCCAGGGCACTTCCCAGCCTGAGTCCTGGGACCCAGCAGAGCCTGGGGCCTCACTGAGTTGAGGGTGGAGCTGTGGGCAAGGAAGCTGAGGTGGCTATGAAGCAGAGCTCTGGAAAAGAAAGAGTGATAAAGAGCCCATATGTCTACATCCCCTCAAGCCTTTGCTTAAAACCAAGGTAAGTACCTAGTCAGCACCACAGATCTTAGCAAAGAAACATTAAGGACCTTCAGGCTGAGCCTGAAGGGATGCGGTAATGGTACAGTGTGTGATGATCAAATAAAAACTACGAGAAATGCTAGGAGGCAAGAAGACACAACTCACCCAAAAGAAAAACCAGTCTACAGAAATGAGAACGTGCTGCAAGTCGGAGGCAAGGGGCAGGGGTAAAACTCACAGCAGCTGTTCAGGAGTTGAAAAAAAAAAATACTTCTGGTGATGAGCAGAAATTATAGATACAAAGACCTGACTAGAGATGGGAACTTGACAGAAGAGAAGACAGGGTAACAGGAGCTGTTGGGCATGGAGCTGAGACACAAACGGACACACGGCTCTGTGCCCTTTACTTCAGAATCTGTGACACTAACGAGGTGCAGGTTGGCACATAATACACATAAAAGCAGACCCCCAGAGGGACAGGATGGGGAGCAGTGAAGAAAAAGGAGACATACTTGAAGACAGATGACAGTTTAGGCAGGAAATGATTTCTATGTAAGCACATGGACCTGAGTTCAGATGCCCAGCACTCAAGTCAAGTCAGGCTTGTTGGCACTGGGAGAGGTAGAGACAGGCAGATCTTGGGGACTCATGGGCCAACCAATCTACAGCGCTAGATTCAGTAAGAAACCCTGTCTCAAAAGTAATGTGGAGAGTCAACTGAAGAAGACACCTTGGTAATTTCTGGGTCCCACACGTGCCTGCATGGGTGAATACACACACACACACACACACACACACACACACACACACACACACAGAGAGAGAGAGAGAGAGAGAGAGAGAGAGAGCGAGCACATACTAGAGAAATGATGGTCAAGATGTTTCCAACTTGAATGGAAACTCCAGGCCTATGGATGCATCACATGCAGGCCCCAGGCTTGAAAGCAGAATGGGGAAGAAGCAGATGGGTGACAGGAAGCCTTATGACCCTCTAAGCTCTTCCCTTCAGCATAAGGCCAGCTGCCAATGTTCCTCCCCACTCAGGTCTGAATAGAGGACATCCTGCTGTATAAAGCATCCCCAGCTCAGCCGGGCGGTGGTGGCGCACGCCTTTAATCCCAGCACTCGGGAGGCAGAGCCAGGCGGATCTCTGTGAGTTCGAGGCCAGCCTGGGCTACCAAGTGAGCTCCAGGAAAGGCGCAAAGCTACGCAGAGAAACCCTGTCTCGAAAAACCAAAAAAAAAAAAAAAAAAAAAAAAAAAAAAAAAAAAAAAAAAAAAAAGCATCCCCAGCTCAAACTCAGGCCAAGATCCTCATGCATGTTGTCACAAGGATCACCATGTGACAAAAACATGCAGCATGGCCTCCACCTATGCAGTAGATGCTGATGCTGCAGCTGATGCTTCAGATCCAGCAGTGAGCATCTACAAAGCTGTCCCTGTGCTTGGCTGCAGAGCCTCCGGAGCAGAGGCCCCAGGACTTCCCATACAAGCTGCCCTCATCCTGGTGAAGAGCCTCAGCCACAGTGGGTTCCACACTTCCCAGAGTCAGGCCTTTCAGCCCACGCCTGGGCTCCTTCCCCAGGAAGTCAAGAGCACTGACTGTGGTCACTGCTTCTGGCCACAGGCCAGGAAGAGACTTGCGAGGGAGAGGGAACCGCTGGCCACTCTGAGAGCACAGCTAATCTCCCCTATCAGAAGCAGGAGCTGCCAGGGTTCATTTACAATCGGCTCAGTTACAGGGGGGAGGAAGCAACTAATTACAAAAAATAAAATACCCTGAAGACATCAGCCCTCCCAAGCATCATCCTTCAGCAAGATTCAGCCTTCAAAATCCCTGCCCTTTTCCTTTCTGAAGAATATAAAGAAGGAAGAGAGGAATGGAAGGACGGGGGAGGAAGAAGGGGATGAGAAGGAAAGGAGAGAAATATACCTGCTGAGCCTGGCTGTTGAAGGCCCACGTGGGGCAGACAAGAGTAAAGAACCTCACAAGGTCCCCATCCTTATGCTGTCTGCTATCAGAAGGAGGGGCATGTCCAGTCTTCTGCCTAAAACCACCCCCTCCTGCCCCCAGCCCAGATTACAAACCACCACCTATCTTGTATAGGACAAGCCTGAAGCCCACGGTTCCTTTCCCATATGCCACACCGATACCACCAAGATCTCCCAGGCCTTCAACAACCTGCTTGGCAGGCAGCCCCTGACTCCCTGGAGTAACTTTACACCTGTGTGGGCTTCCGGGCCAGGGCACCAGTCAAGAACTCTTGCCTGTCACCACCTAGCCTCAGTGTGCACAGGAAAGGCCCAAGGCAACTAACCAAGTGACATAATTTGGATCTAATGGCAAAAGGAAAGAGTTGCATACCATCTGCAAGAGGGCTCATTAGGGTGGATGGGCCCAGGGTGGAGCTACATGGGGGCCCAGGCCATGCACGGCTCCACACACACCTGCAGCGAGAACCTCTGCCGCACAGGCACCTGCAGCAGAGACGGACAGACAAAGCACAGGGTCCCAGTGGGCTGCCCGAGGAGGATGCAGGAAGGACTCTGGGGATCACGACAACCCAGGTCAGGGAACACCCCGAGGGGCTGCCGGCCTCTCCACGAGAGCAAAGACAACACACCGTGAGGACCGCAGAGAAGAGCCCTGGCCCAGCGGCTCCACCTCAGAGGCTGTGTTTGTTCTGACAGCAGAAGGGCCACCACAGAGAGAGAAAGGACAGCCCAATCTGTTTGCACAGCTGAAGCCTTAGAGTCAACTCAAAAATCACAGTGACAGCAAAACAGGGTGGGGTTCCCAGGCTGCCCGGTGCCGCTGCCCAGAGACATGCTCGGCCGAGGCGATGGTTCCCAGGCTGCCCAGGGCCGACCGCTGCCCAGAGACATGCTCGGCTGAGGCGATGGTTCCCAGGCTGCCCAGGGCTGACCGCTGCCCAGAGACATGCTCGGCTGAAACGATGGTTTGGCAAAAGGGAAAACAAACTGGGACTCTAAGATAAAGAAGATGGGGCTCACTTCCTGAAAGGAGGACTCAGCAGAGCTTCAGCCTCTCCAGCTTCAGGTTCCTTCTTCCAGGGTCTCCTGGTTCCAGGCAGGGAACAGCCCCCAGGGCTAACCACCACTCACGGCACCATTACTTTTGCTAGACTTCTCACCCAGGCAAGCCTCAGGGTCCCCACGGTAGGGTGTCCATGCTCACTCCTTTTCTTACCCAACTGCCCAAGGGACTAACCAAGGCTGTGTCCTTACTAACAAGGTGGCTGAGTGGACTCACACAGGTGACCTTGCGATAGATCTGGGCGGCGTTCTGGCACTCCGAATAGGGGTACTCTGAGGTGGCCATCTCCAGCATACACATCCCGAAGGCGTAGACATCAACTGACTCATCGTAGTGCTCCTCATACATTTCAGGCGCCATGAACTCAGGGGTACCTGCACCAGGAGCAGCAGACACAGCTGTTACTGACCATGGCCCCTTGGCCCCATAGATGCCCCCCACCGCCTCCATATCTGTCCCGTGGCACATTCAGGACACCAGTAAGGTCAACAGATCCCAGGATTCAAGCAGACGTTCTCTACACACTGAAGTGTCTAAAACCTCACCTTATGGCTCCAGGGCTAGCCACCAGTTTTCAGTGCCATTTCAAGCCACAAGGTTGGAAAACACAGTGTCCAGGGGGCTGGGGGAGGGGCATACCTATTCTCTGAGTACACCCTGGTTGTGTGTGGATACTGTACCTTTGGTTACCCCAAAGCTGCCTCTAACTGCAAAAACCCAGGAAAGCCCTGAGTGTCCCCAGAGAGGGGAATGACTAGATTTTCTGGGTATAACTCATGATGAATATGACATGCAATG